CCCGATACGCCACCTCTGCTTCAAAATTCAGAATATAACCCGCTCCTTCCCCTCCGCCGCCGAGCTGACTGCGGCGCCGAGGCCACGGCACAACGCTTGGAAACGCTGCCTTGGAAGTGGGGATGGGGGAGAGGAGCTGGTGCCTCGCTGCCCTGGAGGGTCTGGGGGCGCCCGCATCAAACCCTCAGCATGGAAGGGGCGAAATTTGGGGTCTGTAGAGCACAACACGGGGTGAACGGGAGTTTTAGAAAGCTGCTTCTCTTCAGTTTGCTGGTGGCGGGGGCGGAGGGAAGGAAGGAGCTGTCTGACTTTAAAAAATCACTGCGATTCTTACTTAAAGACGAGCGTAAAAAACATGTAGACCCGCAGTCATTCCAGGGCGAGGATTTGGCATCGCTGAGCCTGCAAAAGGACCTTGACATAATCTCTGCTTTTCTAAAAAGGCAAAGCCTGTCAAAGTCCCCGCGCTGACAAAAGCCACTCGGCGAAGGCAACGCGACCGATGGCACTTCCGTTAGAGCGCCCAGAAACCGGGGGGGTCACCAAAAATATACTGGGACAGGCAGGAGGCACTTGAAAAAAGAGAGGGCTCAACAGTTTGAAAACTCCAGAGCAGGCGTAGCGAATTGTTTGCTATCGAGGAAGAGAAAGTGAAAGGCTTTTCCAGATACTTATGGAGTTCACAGCTGAAACCGCGACCTCTTTCACTCGAAATGTTGTGAGTTTGGTAAAGTCGTAAGCGACAGAAGTTATTTTTAAAAATAACCCTCAAGGATAACAGCGTTTTCTTCATTGCTGGCTACATTAAGAAACGTTTAGAGTGATTCAGGATGGGTTTAACTGAATTTCATTTTACGTAGCTGACGTATGGGCTAAAAACTCTTCCAAGATTTAAAAGCCGTATTTAGCGAAATCTCTTGTTGCATCTTTGTTACATCTTATGAAACGCAAGGAATTTTAGGATTCCGTGAGGTGTGTGAGCAACACTAACATTTGGATTCCCATCACTCCTGGGAAAATGAGTGGATGCCTGTCGGTGTAAGGACTGACTGTATTTCTCAGTCTATTTACAGCTGAGGGGGGAAAAAAAGGAAACGGGTCCCTTTCGCTGTCAGGGAAGTATCTGTATCGCTTTCTGTTTGTTTCATTTTGCAATGCAAAACAAAAAGGCAGTGGGGAATGTCCCCCAGCTTACCCTGCAGTGACGGGAGCCTTCCACTGGACTCAGTGGACAAGGCTTGGAGCCTTTAGCCATGGTTACGCTCCCCCTGCGCCGCGCTCCCTCCGAACCCCCCCGGCTCAGGCCTTCTGAAGATCAAGGCAGGTAACTCTTTCCTCCTCCCTTCCCCTAAGAGAAAATACTATGTCCGTTCGCACCATTTGGAATCTCTCAAACTGAAAACGGGCATCTTTTGGCCACGACCGAGTGGCTGCTGCATCTTTGGGTTTTCTGCAGGAAAAGCCTGAGTTTTGGACCGACCATTTAACCCCACCCCTTTATTAATCCTGAACTCTGGTGCTAGATATTTAATGCCCTTCTAATGTATGGCAGCAAGAACTTTTTTTAAGTCACTGTGTTTCTATATTTGTCATCCATAATTGCCCCTCTTTCGACTGAAATTCATCCCCTTTATTTCTCATTAATCTGTTGAGGTTTTTTTTTTTTTAAAAAAATTACCATACTTGAAAGAATTTCATCCACGCCTTCCCCACTTTTGGAGACATATTCATCACACTTGGAACTACTTCAATAGGCATTTGTATAAAATCCTAATAGTAAATAACTAAGAAGTGAAGAGAGACTGTTTAAGTTTCAGTGCCAGCATTCTGAGACAATTATTAATGCTCTTGCTTATTTACAGATACATTTCCTCTCCTTAAGTATATCACTTAAAGCCACAGAATGTTCAGTGTTTTCTTGAGCACTGAATCTGTTCTGCATTTCAGAGCTGAATTAACCTTAGGCTACCCCTTTCTTGCACTACTTTCATTCCTGAACGTTTAAGATCAGGAAGGTTGATTCATAAAGCTGAGCTTATAGATAGTTTAAAGAAAAGTAAAACGTGAACATTCCTTGTATCGTTTATCTCCCAAACTAGGGACTGTTGCTCAGCCATATAAATATTCTGAAAATTTACCAGCAGAGAGAACCCCATTTTCCTTATGGTGGCGGGAGTGTAATTTTTTAAATTATAAACAAAAATGGAGAAGATGAGCTAGGTTTTGGACGATGGACTGCACGTTTGTCCCTGCGCTTGCTCTTTTCCCCTGGAATTCACACATTTCAGGGGAATGGGAGGCTGGAAATAATATTTTGCACTGTGCTCTGTTATCTGCTTTTGTTTGGGATTGAGACAGCAAGGTGAGGCGTGCTTTGGTGGTAGCTTTACAAACTGACTTACAGTTCTCTCTTGCCCTGCCCCAGGTTTTAAGCAGTTTGGGAAGTTCCCCGTGAAGATATTGAGTAGGC